AATAATATCTAACTCATGATTAATATTGATCCTAATGTAAACTGCCATTTTTTTAAATTGAATTCTTGAGATTTCATTAATAAATGCTTCTTCGGTTTCTTTTATTCTACTTTAGAGGTTGATGTTGTCCATATTTTCTTTGAGGCTTTTAAACATAATATATCTGTCCTAATTTCAATATTATCGTTTTGCAATTCTTTTAACTTGATTTTTCAGATATTGATTTCTTCTTGTAAATCACTTAGAGTAACTTGTGTGGTTTTGTCAAATCTTTTAATATGCTTTTAAGTTATAAGAATCTATATCTTTTTGTTTTCTCAATAAAATTAATTCTTTGAGTTTTAATAATATTCTCTTTTAATTTCTTCATCCTGAATTTGTCAATAATATCTAATAAAATTCTTTTGATTTGGTATAACATTTATTGACTTAGGTCTAGATGTTGAACATCAATTTATTGATTTCATTGCACAGTAGCATGGCCTCATGCAATCACAGTCATCAGTCTTGTAAGACTCACTCTTGATTCAGAAGAATTTTCTTGAATTTGATAAATCATATCTTCATTACTCTTATTGTAACTAGATTCTTCTTCAGAGTCTGTTTGAATAATTTTTAATATTGTTGTTTTAATTCTAAATCTATTTCTAATTTTTTAATTTGATTTTTCATAGGACACTTAGTTTGATGACCTTTGTTTACATTTCCAACATGTGATAGTTTTTTTACATATTTTCTTATAGAAATTTTTTTCTTTTAATAGGATTGTCATAAGATTTTTGTTCGTATCTGTAATCTTTTTTTAATAAGGTTTTTTAATTGTTTTTTTGTTTTTTATCTTTTTTGTACCTGATACAGGAGGTAATGTTTTTTCATAACCGTATTGGCTACAAAATCCACTTACGCTGTTTCTTATGTTTTAATTCATTTTTAATTTAGCTTTTAATTTTAAACAGTGCAAATTATTAAGCTTCGTTATTAATAAAACTAATTAATCTCTGTAGGTTAAGTCTTCGTAAGGTATATTGCCATCGTGTTTTTTGTATAATGCATTCTTGACAGTTTGCCTAAATAATCTAGGTAGACCATCAGGAACCTTTCTTTCCATAGGGTTTCCTACAGTCTGTTCTTATGAATACTTTTTGTAAAAATATATCTTTTAACATCTAAAATCTGTCATAGTTGGAACTCTTAAGTTAGCTAATATTTCTTGTGATTTTTCTGAAAGCTTGTTGGTGTCTCCTACAAAATTTTTGGTTATGGCATAAATATGTGGCTACAGCATCTCCTTCTTCATGTTCATACTCTACTTGCCTAGTACCTTCTCTTTGACTTTCCTAGTCTTTTTTGTTGCTGTATATGTGATGTTTATGTGATTCTGGTAAATCATTATCCCACCAATTTTTTACATTCCTGTAAATCCTGAGACTATATTTTTGCGATTTGATGGTCAGTGTTGTCATGTGATTTATGAGCCAATGCTGCCATAGTCATTTCTTGTAAAATATTTAATATTTGATGTTTAGCTAATCGTCTATATTCCATTCATCTATTCCTATTCCAGTGTAGAGATCTGCTAGTTGTATTATATCTTCAAATTGCATATCTGGCAAGAAGGTCTTGGATGTAGTTTCGAGTTTTAGGATATCTCATATTATTTCATTTATTGATAGATAAGTTTTGAAAATTTTGATTTAATTATTCTATTGGGTCGGATTCTGTAAAACATTAATGTTTGATTTAGAGGATGATAATTTACTAAGTTTTTTACTAATATTTTCTAGAATAGTGTTATGACAAAAATAATTAAAGGTTTATAAATATACCCCAAACAAATTTTGATTACTCATTCATTTGTGTCCAATGTAACCATAACCTATAAATTAATATTATAAATTAATAATTTTAATGTAATATATTAATGTTGTAATTAAGTAAATAATTATTAAATTATAATTAATGTTATATTAATTAATGGATCATCCTATAATGAATGTTATAAATACTTATAATTATTTAGTGTATTCAATAATGTAATATTATAATCATTAAATTTCAATAATTAATTAATCCTTATGTTTAGTGTTTAATATAATATCATAATTAATTAAATAATCATTTAATTATGTAATGTTAAAATTAATTAAGTGACTATACTGCAATGTAATTGTAATGTTATAATTAATTAAGTAATATACTATTTAATTATAATGTAATATTATAATTAATCAAATGTTAATCATTTAATTAAGTATGTGTAAATTAGTAAATTACTAATGTTTATATTATAATTGTCATAATTATTAGTAACATTTATTATATAATGTTAAATTAATATGTGATCATATTATGATGTAATATTATAATGAATTAAGTAATCTATTATAAACTATAATTTAATATTGTAATTAATTAAATTCTAATCATTAATTAATATACTAATGTTTATAATGGAATGTTATAATTGTTAAGTAATCATCCTATAAATATATAAGATATGTATAATTATTAAATTTTAATTATTTATTAAGTATATTAATAATATAGTAATTACTAATGTTTAATAATGTAATTTTTAAATTTATAATTAATCATGTAATTATTTAACTATGTAATGCTATAATTAAATAAGTGGATAATATAATGTAATATAATAATGTTATAATTTAATTGAGTAATTATTTAACTATACTGTAATGCTTAATTAATTAAATTTTTATTATTTAATTAAGTAAATAATTTTTATAATATAATGTCATAATCAATTAAATATCTGATTATAATCATACATAATGAATTAATATCATACTATAAATTCTTAATAATATATTTAATTTGTTTTGATAGATGTTATATTAATTAGCGATCATTAATTTATATAATATTACAATAATTAACTAATTAAATAGTCGTACTATAAATTTATAATGTAATGTTATTAATTAATTAAATTTATACTTTAATTAAATATTGTGCTAATATTTATGTGTAATTAGTAATTATTAATGTTTATTAATATCATAACTCAGATCAATTAAGTAATTATTTAATTATGTAATTTTATAATAATTATATTATCATAATATAATGTATGTTATGGTGAATTAAGTAATCATACTATAGATCTTTAAGTAATATTATATTAATTAAATTTTTAATCATTTAATAAGTAATGTAACAATGCAGTAATTACTAATGTTTATAATATAATGTTATAAATTTATAACTAATTAAGTAATCATTTAACTATGTAATACTATAATTAATTAATGATCAACATAATGTAATGTAATATGTTAAATTTAATTAAGTAATTATTTAAATATAATGTAATATTAATTAATTAATTTATAATCATTTAATTAATTAATCATTTGTTTAATATTATGTCATATCATTTAAATATCACCTAATTATATAATGTTTATAATTAATTATGTAATCATACTATATGAATATTGAAATGTTATAATGATTTAAGTACATACTATAAATTTAATGTAATATGATATGAATTTTTTTATAATTGAATTGTGTGTTTTTTAACATAATAATTAAGTACATCTTACAATGAATTAAGTAATTATACTATAAATCTTTAATATAATATTATAATTATTTTGTTTATAATAGAATGTTATAACTAATTAAGTAATTATTTAATTATAATGTAATGTTACAATTAATTACGTAATCGTACTATAAATATATAATGTAATGATGTAATTAATTAAATTTCTAATCATTTAATTAAATATTGTGCTAATGTTTATGTAGTAAATTAGTAATTACTAATATTGATAATATAATATCATAATCAATTAAGTAGTCATTTAATTATGTAATACTATAATTAATTATGTAATCATACTATAATGTAATGTTATAGTGATTAATTAATCATACTATAAATCTTTAATGTAATATTATAATTAATTAAATTTTTAATCATTTAATTAAGTTTGTACTAATGTTTATAATGAAATATTATAATTAATTAAGTAATTATACTATAAATCAATTAAGTAATGTTATAAAATTATAATTAATTAAGTAATCATTTAATTATAATATAATGTTATAATTGATTAAGTATGATATTTAACTAATAATAAAATTTATTAATGTTTATCAATTTATCATATTTAATTAATTAATTGCTAATTTGCTATAGATATATTTAAAACTTGATAATAAAAGTAAATAACTAAATATATTATTATTCAATCAAATACACAATTTTATTTAAAAATAATTCTTTTAATAACATTAAAAATTTAAAACACTTTTAATTGGATCATAATTCTAATTATTCACTTGATTAATCAAAACTTTAATATTAATATATTATAATATATTATAGTTTTTAATATGGTATAATTTATATGTAATAAGTATAATTGTATATTTATTTAATTAGGTTATTCTAAAATTTTAATTTTTTATATTTTAAATTTTGTTATATGTAAAACAATAGAAACCCCTCATTATTCACATTTCACAAATATTTCATTGCAATCCAGATTCCAAAACCAAAACAAGTTATAAACAGGTTCTAAACCAGGTACCCGCTACAGGTTCAAACAGGATACCCGTTTTAGGTTCTTTTTCCAGGTTTGGTTCCGGTTCCTCCATATACAAGAACCGGAACCGCATAGTATCGGTTCCAATAAAATGGAACCAGAACCTACCTGCACAGTGCTGGTTCCGATTCTACCTGCTACTCGTGCTCACCCCCATTAAATAATATTTTGTGGGGTTTGTTGAACATAATAATTAATCCACTGTTTGTGAGGTGATTAGTATAGTTGAGCAAAACAAAACCATCGGCTAGTACATGTGACTATTGAAATTTTTATCTGATCGATAGTTTCAGGGTGTTTAGACCATTGATTGCTAGTATGGATAACCATTAAAATTCTTATCGAGTCAATAGTTTTCAAGATCTTAAATATTAGTTGAAGAATTTCTAAACAGTAATATAATAAGACAAATGAGAATTCAATAACTGGAACAATTAATCAGGAAATAGCCATATATTTTTAACTGATCACCATCAAACAAATCAACCTCAATTATACAAAATTAAATGACATTAATAACACCAATATCAGTCTGTCCACCCAAAGAGTGCTCTCTTTCTACATGATCACACGATTCAAAAAGAAAATCAAAAGAATTTAGAATAGCATCCCAAATGCTAGAGCTGCAAGAGAAGCAAACAAGGTTGGGAGAAAGATGGTGGCATCAGAAGTGGGAGAAGGAACTGGAGCATCAGCAGCTGCAACAATTTGAACCCTAGTTGACACAGCCAAAACCACAATCACCATGGCCAAAAACAACCTCATCTTCAATGCCTCCATTGATAAAGTCTGAATGAGAATTTTCTTGGGAAAGTGGAAGAGAGAGAAAGAGAGAGAGAAAATGTGTAATGTATAGCACAAGTATCAGAAGAAGAGCAGAAGGTGGGTTTATATAGAGAGAAACTTAGTGGTTATGAAGAGGTTGGATGAATGATTTGTTTGTTATTAAAGATAAAAGAAAAAGAAGGTTTGCTTTGCATATAAGGTTTTGGGGTGTCCCAAATGAGTTAACGAATTTTTTCCACCCAAAGTTTGCCGTAATGACACTTTCCCGTCCTAAAAGTTTTAAAATACCACTTTTCGACCAACGTTTATATTCTTTTAATACCCGAAATATACTTCACTTTTTCAGTTAGCATTCAACGAGTTACCAAGAGTTAGGATAAGAAAGGTTTTATAGAGTGGAGGCTAGTGGATTTAATGGTGGTTACTGATTAAATATTCGTCGTCGTAAATCAATTAAAAATAAGAAACTCTAGCTTTGTGATAGTAGACAATCGACGAAAAATCAAGCACCGAAGTGAGATATGTTTTGTAGATAGGAGACCAAAGGTTCAAATGATGGTGACTGAGAGAATTTTTGTTGTGGGAATTGGCCGGAATTGGTTTTGAGTAATAAGGGAATATTAATTTTGGGTGGAAATGTGATATTTTGAAACTATTTGGGTAGAACAGTCATTACGACAAACCTTGGGGGCCCGGGGGAAGTCGTTCACTCTGTCCCAAATTGCTGATTAGTTGGTACAGGGTGTCCTTGATGGGTGCTATACAGCTGGTGCTTATGCACCTGTGGCCCTCCTCTTTAAGGTCCCATTTGCTTTGGGTTTCTTTTATATGATTTCTGTAATTAAGTTAAAGTTTAGAGGAGGTGAATGAAATTTTCTATTACATATTCGTTGGAGTTCGTTGTAAGGACTATAATGACCCCACTAAGAAGCATGTTCTGAGGTTATAATTAAAGTAAGGAAGGGTATTTTTGGGCTTTCATTTATTTGTTTTTTCCTAAAGATATTTTAAAATTTTAAATTGATTTTTTGTTTTCTTTATAGAAATGTGGGGCGGTGAGCTGCTGGGTTCCATGATTGATTATAATTACCTCGCTGTCCCAATCACCATTCTCAATTTACAACTTTCTACTTTTTATAAGTAATTTTTAATTAAATTTTTGTTTTGTTTTTTTTTTAAAGTGTTTAAAGCTAATTCAAACGGATCTCGATTAATTTTTATCGATGACTAGCACAAGATCTCACCGATTCATTGTCATCATCATCCGCTTAAATCTTAAAAATTAAAAGATTTAAACCCGAGACTGTATATCTTAACCACACATTGATGTGTTTATCCTACCACTTGAGCTACTTAAGAGTGAGAATTTTTAATTGGATGCTTAAACCCAAAAGTAAGAATTGGTTATATCAACTTTTATTAATTTTAAAAATTATTTTTCATTATAAGGTATTAACATTCTTAATTCTTATGAGTCCTAAGATTTTTTTTTTTCCTTGTACTGATTTTATCTTTTTTTTTGTTGTTTTTCATTTTGGATAATAATCCCTTTTTGAGTACTATATAATTCATATGGACCAATAATTGAGAGGATATAATTAGGTTATGAAATAACATTTCAAAGCATATCTTATGATGATTATGTTCCATATGCCCTTTTTTATGTCTTTCGGTAATATTATGATCCCAACATAAAATCTATCATCTATATCTAATAATTTTTTATCAAATAAATAAATATATAAAATAAATAAATTGGATGATAGTCTAAAATTTTTCTTTAAAAATATTATACAATCATAAATACGGTTAGTGCAATATAATATTTAAAAAAAAATAAATAAAATATATATGAGAGAGGGGTTATTCTCTAGTCAAGACTCCTAATATTAATTTTAGTAAGACCATGCTTAATCACTGTTGGATTCAACTGATATAATACATATTTTACAATTAGATTCATAGATATATATCGGTCCAATAAATTAATATCAGTACGTCCTGACTATATAATAATAATAATAATAATAATAATATATATTATTTATTAATTGGATCTAAAGTATGAAATGGAAATAGATCCTTTTAAGAATTGTTAAATTCAATATTAAGTTATATTATTATTATTATATTATTTATCGTAATGAATTTATATGATATATAGGTAGTAAGATTTAAGATCAGGATGGTGAAATGTTGTGCTAGTCACCTAAGATTAATCGAATGCACGTAAACTGGTTTAGATATCTTATATATATATATATATACTATTATATTAGAATAATTAATTATGTGATGCCTTTTGATGCCACCACCAATATTTGTAACACAATGGTGATAATTTTACAATGTGACAACCTAAATTTTACAATAAGGACATTTGATTCACGAGCTAGGTATTAGAACCAAGTATCAAAACAATTTAATTCTCAATTTCATTTAATTTTCAATCTATGAAATAGACAATTAAGTTAATCTAGAATATGGATTTTTTTTCTTTTTAATTAATTAAGTTTAGATATGATAAGAAGCATAATCAAAATGTATATTCAATTATTATGTTTTTATATTTTGAGAATCAAATTGGATTAAATGTCAAAAATACAAAAAAAAAAAAAAAAATCCCATTTCATCCACACGAAAAATAAATAAGATACCTCCTTATTAATAATAGAAAATTCTGTGTACTTTATAGGATATTAGTACGAATAAAATTTTAAGTTGTAAATAATAGTTTATATGAAAAAGTAAATACCTTTTAAAAACCAAAAACCCCTAAAAAATTATATTAAATAAAAAAAACCACTAAAAAATATAAAAAAAACACCCTTTAAATAGTAGAAACTTTTGGGCAAGGAGATATCAAATACTTTTAAAAAATCATTACGATACTTGAGACAGCAAATCTCAATAGAGAATATGAAATAATCAATCGTCACTAGAGACCCTAATGGTAGAAGAGTAAAAGAAAATTTCATGAGTTTTTAAATTCGAATTTCTCTAATCACTAATAGGATGATTACTGAAGCTCTTATACAGCTAATAGTTCTAAGACTCCAAATAATTAGTTAATTGCATATAAACTGTTCCGAATATATATATCAAATAATATAAATAGGAAACAAATCTCAACCACACGTAGTGATCCTCGATATACTTGTATCATAAGCTATGTGAAAACATTTAAACTGTAAATGTCTCAGGTCAATGATTTTGAAAAAAATAATAATAAATGTGTCCCCTTTTAGGCGGACACATCTTTCTATGTTGAATTCATGGCTTTGAATCCTTTGATCTTTGTTAAAAATTTTGCTTGTTGTCAAAGTTCGTTGAAATTGTGACTTATTTTTGTCTTTGCATAGTCATCCATTTTCTAATTATTTTTCATTTCTTTTACTTGATTATTTGAATACATGTCTTTTACCATTTTAAATTAGTAATTTCACCTAAATAATAATGAATAAAAAAAAAAAGAGGATATTTGATATAATACAGTTATTTATTATGAAAATGGGAACATAAACATCCTTTGAACAATTGCATTTCTCCCCTCTTAAAAGAATCATTGCCCACAAGGATATAATTTTGGTAATTTGTTAGAACTTAAGCTCAAGGGAGACCCTAACCCAAAAGATCGGTCTGATAGGTGGAAGAGCCCATAAGCTTAAGTACCACACTTGGTGAGTGTGAGATCCCCATATAAAATCCTAACATAATTCCAACTGAAACATATAAGCATAGCTTATTGAGGATTAATGAGAATATAAATTTATTATGGGTTCATTGGTAAATTGTTTTGATTGAACACTTATTAACGGGTTGTCTTAACGTGTGCATTTAGAACGCATCTTCATACCATTAGCAGACCGATTATTTGTTTATTTTAATACACTTTATGGACAAAAAAAAAAAACAAAAATTTTAATTTATTAATATGCTAAATGTTTTATCTCTTGACGCTCTTAACATGTGTTTTCTGGGAAATTCGAAGCGGATAAATACCCAGTTGGCATGCAAATATCCCACGATGTGGATCTCATAACGAAGGTCGTTGATTGCATAACTTTCCTGTTTTATTGAATTTGAGTTTATCTCCAACTCAATCTTGTAAGGGATACTACATAAATCTAATTATATATATTTTTTAGAGAGATTCGAGAGGGAGAATAGGGAAAGAGTAAATTAACTAGACAACTATTTGTAAATCAGATCACTGATATTACACATTCAATAACATAACAATGAACGTAGATTTTGCATTATAATCAGCCGATCCACTTTAAACAGATTTTCTTGTTCTTCGTTATTTTGTATTTATTATTGCACGTTTTATCATCGTATTATTCTATCACTTGTCCATTTGGATTACGCACACATCCTACATGATTCTAACATTATTAATCACGTACTTTTAGTTGGTGTAGATTTCTACATCAACATGTATCCTAAAAACACATATTAAAACAACCTCTTATTAACAANTTTTTCATTTCTTTTACTTGATTATTTGAATACATGTCTTTTACCCTTTTAAATTAGTAATTTCACCTAAATAATAATGAATAAAAAAAAACAGGATATTTGATATAATATCCGAATACAATTATTTATTATGAAAATGGGAACATAAACATCCTTTAAACAATTGCATTTCTCCCCTCTTAAAAGAATCATTGCCCACAAGGATATAATTTTGGTAATTTATTAGAACTCGAGCCTAAGGGAGAGCCAAACCCAAAAGATCGGTCTGATAGGTGGGAGAGCCCCTAGGCTTAAGTACCACACTTGGTGGGTGTGAGATCCCGATGTGAGATCCTAACATTGTACCCTCCTTCAAGAGTTGACGTCTACGACGGCTTTCACTCTATCGACATTGACACGACGGTAGCCTTTTTTTCCTTTGGATGGCTTCACTCACCTATCAGTCATTCGATGCACATCGCACCTTAATCTAGCCTATAGGTAGCCATTTCCGCAACCTAACTTTCAACGAAAGCACAAATGTTATAACTTAAGCCCAAGGGAGAGCCCAACCCAAAAGACCGGCTTAATAGGTGGGAGAGCCTCTAGGCTTAAATACCACACTTGGTGGGTGTGAGATCCCAATATGAGATCCTAACATAATTCCAACTGAAACATATAAACATAGCTTATTGAGGATTAATGAGAATATAAATTTATTATGGGTTCCTTGGTAAATTGTTTTGATTGAACAATTATTAAGGGGTTGTCTTAACGTGTGCATTTAGAACGCATCTTCAGACCACTAGCAGACTGATTATTTGTTTATTTTAATGCACTTTATGGACAAAAAAAAGACAAACAAACAAAATTTTTAATTTATTAATATGCTAAATAGTTTCTCTTAATGCTTTTAACATGTGTTTTATGGGAAATTCTGAGTGGATAAATCCTCAGTTGGCATGCAAATATCTCACGGTTTGGATCTCATAACCAAGGCTGTTGATTGCATAACTTTCCTGTTTTATTGAATTTTAGTTTATCTTCAACTCAACCTTGTAAGGGATACTATATAAATCTAATTATACTTTTTTTTTTTTTTTTTGAGAGATTAGAGAGGGAGGATAGGGAAATAGTAAATTAACTAGACAACTCTTTGTAAATCAGATCGCTGATATTACATATTCAGTAACATAACAGTGAACATAAGTTTTGCATTATAATCAGCCGATCCACATTAAACAGTTTCTCTTGTTCTTTGTTATTTTGTATTTATTATTGCACATTTTATCATCGTATATTCTATCGCTTATCCATTTGGATCATACACACATCTTACGTGATTCTAACATTATTAATCATGTACATTTGGTTGGTGTAGATTTATGCATCAACAACATCTACCCTAAAAACACATATTAAAACAACCTCTTATTAAAAATGATTTGAGGATTCGATGATTCTTGGATCTTCAAATCAAATTGAACTATAAAGGTTATTCATTTTTTTTTTTTTTTTTTTTAAATTTTAGGAACACACTCTAGCAGTTATTTATTAATAAAATTTTATTTTGGATAATTTAACTTCTAAATCAAACTTTCACATTAATACAACTAACATTTTTCTTTTTTCTTTTTGTATAAATTTTTTTTTTTTTTAAAATTTCAACTTAAAGACTTGCACTATATGGACCGAAGTAAATTTGGGCTGAGTTATTTTATAAAGGCCCAAAGTAAGCCCAATTGCAAGCCCAGGAAAAGGTTAGTCCAGCCCAGCCCAGCCCAATTTTTCTTCTCTCATTCTCTCAGTTTTGAACAGTGGACTGAACTCCCCCATCTAACCTTCCATCACCAATCCAACGGCCACAATAATCTTGAGTTATTTTTATCACCTTCTGTCATCAAAGATAAATAGAAAGAAAGAGCGAGAAGCAATGGAGGAAGAGGAGAGAAAAGAAAGAAAGAAAGAAAGAAATTTCACAACGAAGACTGAGAGATAAACAATAAAAACCAGCTCCCCATTGAAGCACAAAGCGAGAAGAAAAAGAAAAATAAAGTCTTTTTGTTTGTGTTTTCAGAGAGAAAGCAGAGGACTTGATAAAGAAGAGAGAGTTGTTTTTGTTCTTGCTGTTGTTTATCATGAGAATCTTCTCATGTTTTCTTCTATAACATAACTTAACATGTATGTTATTGTTCTTGATTTTTCATTTTCTCGTTTATAGTTTTTGCTTTTTGTGCTTTCTTCTTCTTCTTCTTCTTCTGAAACTCTCTTACACAGAGGTTTTGTGACCAGTTTTTGGTGTTGGAGTTGTAGATCTTGAGGTTAGATGACAATCGTCTCTGTTTCTGGAGATTTTTTCTTCAGATGTTCTTTTTTTTTCGTCTTGGCGATTCCAAGAAACTGAAATATGTAATTTTTGGATTCTTTTATCAACTTCAGTTTCGATTTCCTATATAAAATTCCCACTTCTGAGACTTCTAAACCGAAAGAAAAATTCCCAAATTGGTAGATGAAATAAATTATTTTTCTTCCTTGCTTTACCCGGTATTTCACCATCTCTTTGAGTTTCACTTCTGGGTTTTCTAGATTTTTTTTTTTTTCCCCAACAACCCACTGAATTAACCAAAGAATCGAAATGGGTATCACAAAACTTTGATCTTTTTGAGCTTAATGTTTATCATCTTTTTTATTTTTCACTTCTGGGCACCTTTAAAAAATCAATCTTTATGTGCAAAGAAAGCTCAGATTTTGTGGGTTTGTTTTGGTGGTAGGTATGGAGAAGGAAGAGAGGAACCAGAGAGCTTGTAAATCATCATCATCATCAATGGAGCCGGAATTTTTCTTACAGTGGGGAAACAAGAAGAGGTTAAGATGTGTGAGAGTCAAGGACCCACAAAAGCTCTCACAGAAATCGAACGGCGTAATTCGCCGGAGAATCACAAGAATCGATCGATGTTTGGTCACTGCCTCAGACAAAGAAACCACAAGCCGTCTCACTAGGTGAGACATATTTCTCCGATTTGTATAAAAAACAAAGTTTTCGGAGTGATTTGTTTTGTTACTTTGGTTTCAACGGTGTTGATTTGGTTGAAGGTTTTGTGAAATTTGAAGTGCTTTTCTCTTACCCTTTTTGTTTGGTTGCTGAGAAAACGGAAGAAAACAGCATGCAAGAAAAGAGATTCACCTGAAAAAAAAATCCAATCTTGGATAATCTGCGTTCAAGATGTCAGATTTCAATTTTTTTTTTTTTTAAACTTTAATTCTGTTTATTTTATGGTCCTTTTTATTTTTTATTTTTATTTTTATTTTTTGTGTGTGTGATATGTATTCTGTTTCTTGTTTTTCTCTGTTTGGTTGCTGAGAAACTGCAAAAAAAAAAATAAAATAAAAGAACTTTTGAATCTGTGTTGAGTGGTTTTCATAATAGCGTCTGATGACTAGTTTCTTCTTAACAAAACTAGCAACAATGGAGATTGACGGATTGTGTTTTGAATGTGGGTTGAGTGGTTTTTAATTGTTGTTGTGTTTTTGGATGCAGGAATTCTGAGGCTGCAATACTCCGTTCAGGTTCAAATGAGAATCGAAAATCATCTTCGCCTGAGAAGGAAGATAGGTACTACACCACGAGAGGATCAGTGGTTGGTGATGAGAATGGCAAGGTTCCTGTAGATACCAACAACGGAGAGGACAATAAATTGGTTGTTTGGCCGAAGCTGTATATTTCTTTGTCGAACAAAGAAAAAGAGGAGGATTTCTTAGCTATGAAAGGGTGTAAGCCTCCTCAAAGGCCTAAAAAGAGAGCTAAGATTATTCAAAGAAGTTTACTTGTAAGTTTCGCAAGCACTTTCTGTATTCGGGTGTAAGCCTTCTTTGTTTACTTTTCTTTGGTTTTTGATTGTTTGCTTTGGTTTTGGTGGGTGGCAGTTGGTGAGTCCTGGTGCTTGGTTGACTGATATGTGCCAAGAGAGGTATGAAGTTAGGGAGAAGAAGAGCTCTAAGAAGGTAATTCAACTCTTTTTGCACTGATTTGTTATCATCTTGTTGAGTCGGTGCCAAAACGCTCAGTCAGTATCTAAAAACATCGATGCTAATAGTTTCAATTGGCATCTCAAAACATGGATGCTAATTGCTCGATTGGTATCTATAAACTCATTGTATGTTTAGTTTTAGATACTGATCTAACGGATGACACCGGCACGGCACCTGCTAGTAGTCTTGTTTTGTTTCTGTTTTTGGTTGCAAAGATAGATGATTGATGAGTTAGATCCGTGGGTGTGTTGCAGAGACCAAGAGGATTGAAAGCCATGGGGAGTGTGGAAAGTGATTCAGAATGAGGAAGGTTTATATGAAGTTAATAGCAGCAGCAGGGCCACTTTGCTTTGAAATTTTTGGAAATTTGTATTCTGATTTGAGTGCTTGGGTTGTTTTAAGATTTATTTTTATGTTAGAGAATTGGGAGAGATGAAAAAACAACACTCTCTGCTGGGTTTGCTGTATAGAAGTAACATTTAATTTTTATCAATGAGAAAAATAATTATTTCTTTTTTCCCTCTCATTCTATTATATACCAAACACTTGTTGTTTGTCTTCTTCATTTTGTTTCACACAAATGTTCTGCCCTCTCTCTCTGTATTGTCCTCTTCATATTGTCTCATACTCTTATTTGTATATTCCTCAATGTATTTTTTGTTTTTGTGATAAACTAGCAAAAGGGGCATTTTATATTATGTTATCAGTGTGATATTTCATGCACCAATCCTTCATGGTAACTGGTAATCCAATTTGGGGTATTTTCAAATTACATTTCCACCCTAATGATTCATGACTTCTGACCAGTTTGTGTGTACTCAAGTAATTCGACATATTTGGTTTAGTTGAGCATGATTCATGATGATTCTGCCAACAAAAAATTTAGATACTAAGTTCTTAAAAGGGTAGCTAAACTACTATCAAATTTGTGAGTAGCTCAACTACTATTCCAATTTTAGAAAATCTGGANTCTTCATATTGTCTCATACTCTTATTTGTATATTCCTCAATGTATTTTTTGTTTTTGTGATAAACTAGCAAAAGGGGCATTTTATATTATGTTATCTGTGTGATATTTCATGCACCAACCCTTCATGGTAACTGGTAATCCAATTTGGGGTATTTTCAAATTACATTTCCACCCTAATGATTCATGACTTCTGACCAGTTTGTGTGTACTCAAGTAATTCGACATATTTGGTTTAGTTGAGCATGATTCATGATGATTCTGCCAACAAAAAATTTAGACATTGAAGTTCTTAAAAGGGTAGCTAAACTACTATCAAATTTGTGAGTAGCTCAACTACTATTCCAATTTTAGAAAATCTTGAAATAAAATGTGTTTAGAGGAATATTCAAATATGATGAATTATTTCTTTAATCTAACACAAAGATTCAGGCTTATGCATGTGTGTTCCTTGTAAGAATTTTAGGGATTGAGCAATGCTTCTTGTTCACTTTTGATTCTACCACTAATATTTTTAATTTTTGATGACTGCGAATGTTTAGACAAACTTATGTGCATTTCAATTACTTCTCCGAAAAATTATTAGTTGGATAAAAACTCTAATAACTATTCTTATTAGTATCCGAGGGGAGACTTGAAGTCAGAACTTCTTGAATAATACACTCAAGAGTCTCTATCAAACCACTCATATTTGCTCTTTGTATTTTTTCCTTAAAATATAATATTAAATATGCATTCAATATCAAAAAACTATATTTCCTATGTCTAACTCTAATCATATCCTACTTTATCCATATTAGCCATCTTTAGCTTTCCTTGTCAAAAATTCACGCCCTACCATATCTACATATCAAATAAAACTTTCAATAGCAATAAATATTACTAGATGTATAAATTTTTCTATACAAATGAATGTGACACAAAACGAATAAAGAGTCGAATAAAACGTCAAATTCAATAAAGAGCAATGCTAATTTTACAAAGACACATACAAAAAAGGCATACAAAGACATCCCTACCCTTGATTTTCATAATTTCTCTCTCTCTCTCTTTCTTTTTCCGTTTTTTCTTTGTTTTTTTCTTCTGGATGATGAAATTTTTTTTGTAAGGATAGCATTTTTCTTGAATAAATATAGATGAAAGTTATAATAATACAATAATTTTTATATTTACTTTGTATGCATAACATCACATAATATCTTCCTAACTAAAACTAAGATCCTTATGGTTCTTTGGATAAACATAGAGAGATAAAGATGAGATAATCTCAATAAATAATTCAGTATCAATACTATTTCAATACAATAAAGTGTAAAATGACTCATGTCAAATGTAGTCTTATCATACCACAAACCTTATCACCTGCAGATAATTATGAACAGAAATAAGCACCAGTAAGCATTAAAATATCCCAAGTATTATCTTTATGAGTAATCTTTTTATTGATGATTTGCTGAATTCGTAACAATTTGTTTTTGTACAATGCATCGACAGGATGAAAGAAATGAAATTATACAATCAACAGAAACTAACATAATTTTTTTTTTTTTTAACAACCGATTACTTCTATATATATTGTTTTTCTGTCTAATTTTTAACTACAGTAGTACACACATAAAAATTTCTGAACATGACAGTGTCGATGAGCATTTGCATCTTTATTTGGACATCTTCCCTGTCCAATTTGTCAATATCCACTAGAAAGCGATTGCGATGTGATATAGGAAGCTACACAAACCAAAACAACAATAACTCACAAAGACGGTCACCACCGGTCCATAAAGATGATTGTATGATATACTTTTTTCATATGTACATAGACTATGAAAGATGATATGAATCCAAGGCTGGACTTACTGGGTTACTGAGTATGTTTACGGATACAGGCAATAAGAATTTGCTGCCACATGGTTAGGAGAAAGTCAGAAAGCGTTTGGAAGGAATTCTAGAAATGAAATATGGTAACAAAGCAANAATTATTAACAGAAATAAGCACCATTAAGCAATAAAATATCCCAAGTATTATCTTTATGAGTAATCTTTTTATTGATGATTTGCTGAATTCGTAACAATTTGTTTTTGTACAATGCATCGACAGGATGAAAGAAATGAAATTATACAATCAACAGAAACTAACATAATTTTTTTTTTTTTTAACAACCGATTACTTCTATATATATTGTTTTTCTGTCTAATTTTTAACTACAGTAGTACACACATAAAAATTTCTGAACATGACAGTGTCGATGAGCATTTGCATCTTTATTTGGACATCTTCCCTGTCCAATTTGTCAATATCCACTAGAAAGCGATTGCGATGTGATATAGGAAGCTACACAAACCAAAACAACAATAACTCACAAAGACGGTCACCACCGGTCCATAAAGATGATTGTATGATATACTTTTTCCATATGTACATAGACTATTAAAGATGATATGAATCCAAGGCTGGACTTACTGGGTTACTGAGTATGTTTACGGATACAGGCAATAAGAATTTGCTGCCACATGGTTAGGAGAAAGTCAGAAAGCGTTTGGAAGGAATTCTAGAAATGAAATATGGTAACAAAGCAAGTGGAGAATCAATGGATTTTTGGATGAATTATAAACCATCATTGTAAAATGGCAGAAAAATGAATTTGGAAGCTATCTGTACATGTCAGGCGCTATTTATTCGCAATCTAAATTGTTTAAAAATCACATATCCTACGTTCATGAGTGACAAATGCAGCTGAATTTAAAAAATATTTAAGAACTACACAAGAATAGATCATCTCAGTTTCCTCAAAACCATCATACGAAAGTGTCTGTCAGGATGCTAACCACGAGGATTTGTTCCAAGGATGTTCAACTTAATTACAAGTCATGAAGATGCCAAAGGTAACTACCTTTAAATGATAAAACAGGAAAAATTGAAATCTTGGAACGCTCAAAGAATCAATAGTTGAAACATTTTTTTGGAAAAGCACACCTGTTTGTTCTCTTTCACAGTGGGCTCATTTAGCTCGAGACTTGGCAGCTTGAAGCATTTCCACTATTAGGGTCTTCACGTCCCTAAGAAATACAGGAAATGCAACTTAGAACCCAAAAGATGCAGCCAAACATTATATGGCAGGCTCAGCAGTCATACAAGAAATGCAACTCAAGGAAACCAATGAGATCATGGATGGAGTGTCCTCCGATTACTAATATCAACGAGTCCATGCTCTCAAGAGAAAGGACTACGATTAGGAATCCAAAGCATCAAAACAACACAGATCATATACATATTCTTAACATCGAATATACCACTGACTTGCAGCAATACATATTCATGACAGCAACTTGTAAAATCAATCATGTGAAGCACTATTTTTATTCTCATTTCTCACTTTTATCTTTTCGATTGACATACTAAAGTAGATCGTTTTCATTAAACATGATCTGAGCAGCATAACTTATGAAACATAAACTAACAAAAGCTGACAATCACATGAAAAATCAAAGGAGTAGTATAACCATCTTTTTCCCTCTTGCTACAACAAAGGACAGAATATATTTTGTACAAGATGAGAAATCTTCCAAAACACGATATCTTACTTTCTATCTTCTGCGCGTCTTGGAAAAGGAATTCGGAGCTTGAAAGTATTTCCTTCATAACCCGCCTAAAAGAAGAGATAAAGGTCAAATTAACTTTACACAGAAAGGAGATTAAGAACTTCACAACAATGACACTGCTACAATAGCAGTAAAAAACAAACAAACAAAACTTTCAAAAATAGGTGGCTAAATAATAATTCTAAGTTCTTACATTCCATGCACACCAACAAAAGTAAGAGAAGAGAAAATAGGCTAATACTTCAAAAAGTGCCCCACAATTAAGCTGAAATCTTAACATTAGAAGAGGTTAATGAGGGAGGTGGGACTACCTGAAAGAACAATGTTAACAACTAGCCATACCTTAACATAGAATCCAAGACTATCCAAATCCAGCATGTAAGCAGAGTCCACCTGGAGAAAGAAATGAAGACAACTTTCACAAAACTATTATGATCTCTCTCTTTATCTTTCCACTTTATGAACATTGACTTTCATGTACTAAACCACTTTGGTAAATCATTCAATAACCAACTGCTGACTGTTTATATAATTTTTAATATTCATTTGTCAAAGCTAATTAGACTACTGACATCAAGATAAGAGCAAATTCTTGCTGCTTCAGTTGCAACCAGCTAGAAGCTCTGAAAACAGTATCAATAATTAGATCTTAATTTCCTAGTTGATATGGAAATACAAGGTAAAAAATGTCATTCCAGACTACCGGAATTGATGTTGAGTGTTGCACAATGAGTCTTGTATCTTCAGCATGATCCCTGTTCATGTGCGACTGTCAGGAGATAGGGGTTCAATTAGAAGGGACAAACTGCCAAAGTTATAATAGGAAAATGATAATGTAACAAACAGGTAATATGCGAGCAATACCGCAACAGGCTTAGAAAACTGAGCTATTGGATCAACTTTTGAAGCTTGGTACTCCTCTCTGCTGAACTCTGAAAGTGAAGCACAAGAAAGATACATAAGATAAAATAGAAAAGGAATATGGTGGTAAGAATGTACTAGACAAATTCTTTAGATGAGCTGAAAACATAACCAGACTGTGTAAGAGTGCATCTGCAGAAACATTAGTGTGTATCTCATCTCAAGTGACTGAGACATTCCCTCTCTCAAGATCAAAGGACTAACAAAATTATGGAGTATAAATCAATCCACAATTAGTTTATGACAAATGATGCATGGGAGACAGACAAACCTCCAGACCCCAATAGAGCAGTTGCAACACCTGACACATACCGAACAACCTTTGGTTCAATGCGCAAAAATTGGAAGTCACCAAAGTCAACCTTCACATCAGGAAAGCAGTTTCAGAAGCCTACCAAAATAAATTGGTGACACTTTATTGTAACCAATAATGCATGCTAGAGATTAACAGAGCAAGAATTACCCAGAATGCATTGGGATGCTTAGCCAAATAGGCAGCTCGAATGGTTGCTATATCTTTTTCAGGAACCTGTGTGATTGATTGAAATATAAATTTCAAGTTCTTTTGATCCAAACTATTGAGGTTTAGTGAAGATCAAAATGTTTGCCTAGAATATGAATTAAGAAGCAGAATCATATACAACTCCATGCAAACTTTTAAAAGAAGTAACAACTTACAAAAAGAGCATCCCCATGCAGGGTAATTACTAAATCAGTTCTATCTTCTGGATCTCTAGCAACAACCAATGAACATTTGGGATTAGCTAACAGGTCCTGTACAAGGCAGCAAGTTGTCAGATAAGTAATTATAAGCAGTTGAAAGGAAGAAATTTCCCCCAGCAAATCAAAGAAAATGCCACAAATTTTTATACTGACAAAATGATAAAACTTTTATCATTATCTAAATTGCCAGAAATATGAAAAAGAATAAAAAGTAGCCTAGAAAATCTAGCTATATACCCTCCCTCTAATTTTTTTCACAATGTATTTGGTTGCCCATGCGGTGTGCTGGATTTTAAAGTTCTATTTAAGACAATAGTTTTTGAGATAAATCAACCATAACCACAAAGAAGAAGCATCTACCTTTATTATCAAAGCCGTTTGGCACATTTTGCATTCATTAACCATCAGTTGCATTCTCTCAAGCTTTGGCCATCAATATCAAATGTACAAGTCATGTGATTCATGAGAATGGCACTTCATACTTGTACATAAGCGTAAATTCTGATTGCCTCTATCTAAAAAACTATCACTTTCATCTTTCTTTAAATTACATGAATGATCAGTTTTATATGTTAGGACATCTATAAAAACATTCCACGACGAACCTTTGTATGAACAGCCAGGCTGCTGACAGCTAATATTGGAGATCCATCAGCAACACATGCAAAGTCAACCATCGAACCCGATGGATAACCCTCATACTTCTGCAGAGTAAAAGACTTACAATGAGTAGGTTTTTATTCTCATTTCTCACTTTTATCTTTTCGATTGACATACTAAAGTAGATCGTTTTCATTAAACATGATCTGAGCAGCATAACTTATGAAACATAAACTAACAAAAGCTGACAATCACTTGAAAAATCAAAGGAGCAGTATAACCATCTTTTTCCCTCTTGCTACAACAAAGGACAGAATATATTTTGTACAAGATGAGAAATCTTCCAAAACACGATATCTTACTTTCTATCTTCTGCGCGTCTTGGAAAAGGAATTCGGAGCTTGAAAGTATTTCCTCCATAACCCGCCTAAAAGAAGAGATAAAGGTCAAATTAACTTTACACAGAAAGGAGATTAAGAACTTCACAACAATGACACTGCTACAATAGCAGTAAAAAACAAACAAACAAAACTTTCAAAAATAGGTGGCTAAATAATAATTCTAAGTTCTTACATTCCATGCACACCAACAAAAGTAAGAGAAGAGAAAATAGGCTAATACTTCAAAAAGTGCCCCACAATTAAGCTGAAATCTTAACATTAGAAGAGGTTAATGAGGGAGGTGGGACTACCTGAAAGAACAATGTTAACAACTAGCCATACCTTAACATAGAATCCAAGACTATCCAAATCCAGCATGTAAGCAGAGTCCACCTGGAGAAAGAAATGAAGACAACTTTCACAAAACTATTATGATCTCTCTCTTTATCTTTCCACTTTATGAACATTGACTTTCATGTACTAAACCACTTTGGTAAATCATTCAATAACCAACTGCTGACTGTTTATATAATTTTTAATATTCATTTGTCAAAGCTAATTAGACTACTGACATCAAGATAAGAGCAAATTCTTGCTGCTTCAGTTGCAACCAGCTAGAAGCTCTGAAAACAGTATCAATAATTAGATCTTAATTTCCTAGTTGATATGGAAATACAAGGTAAAAAATGTCATTCCAGACTACCGGAATTGATGTTGAGTGTTGCACAATGAGTCTTGTATCTTCAGCATGATCCCTGTTCATGTGCGACTGTCAGGAGATAGGGGTTCAATTAGAAGGGACAAACTGCCAAAGTTATAATAGGAAAATGATAATGTAACAAACAGGTAATATGCGAGCAATACCGCAACAGGCTTAGAAAACTGAGCTATTGGATCAACTTTTGAAGCTTGGTACTCCTCTCTGCTGAACTCTGAAAGTGAAGCACAAGAAAGATACATAAGATAAAATAGAAAAGGAATATGGTGGTAAGAATGTACTAGACAAATTCTTTAGATGAGCTGAAAACATAACCAGACTGTGTAAGAGTGCATCTGCAGAAACATTAGTGTGTATCTCATCTCAAGTGACTGAGACATTCCCTCTCTCAAGATCAAAGGACTAACAAAATTATGGAGTATAAATCAATCCACAATTAGTTTATGACAAATGATGCATGGGAGACAGACAAACCTCCAGACCCCAATAGAGCAGTTGCAACACCTGACACATACCGAACAACCTTTGGTTCAATGCGCAAAAATTGGAAGTCACCAAAGTCAACCTTCACATCAGGAAAGCAGTTTCAGAAGCCTACCAAAATAAATTGGTGACACTTTATTGTAACCAATAATGCATGCTAGAGATTAACAGAGCAAGAATTACCCAGAATGCATTGGGATGCTTAGCCAAATAGGCAGCTCGAATGGTTGCTATATCTTTTTCAGGAACCTGTGTGATTGATTGAAATATAAATTTCAAGTTCTTTTGATCCAAACTATTGAGGTTTAGTGAAGATCAAAATGTTTGCCTAGAATATGAATTAAGAAGCAGAATCATATACAACTCCATGCAAACTTTTAAAAGAAGTAACAACTTACAAAAAGAGCATCCCCATGCAGGGTAATTACTAAATCAGTTCTATCTTCTGGATCTCTAGCAACAACCAATGAACATTTGGGATTAGCTAACAGGTCCTGTACAAGGCAGCAAGTTGTCAGATAAGTAATTATAAGCAGTTGAAAGGAAGAAATTTCCCCCAGCAAATCAAAGAAAATGCCACAAATTTTTATACTGACAAAATGATAAAACTTTTATCATTATCTAAATTGCCAGAAATATGAAAAAGAATAAAAAGTAGCCTAGAAAATCTAGCTATATACCCTCCCTCTAATTTTTTTCACAATGTATTTGGTTGCCCATGCGGTGTGCTGGATTTTAAAGTTCTATTTAAGACAATAGTTTTTGAGATAAATCAACCATAACCACAAAGAAGAAGCATCTACCTTTATTATCAAAGCCGTTTGGCATATTTTGCATTCATTAACTATCAATTGCATTCTCTCAAGCTTTGGCCATCAATATCAAATGTCCAAGTCATGTGATTCATGAGAATGGCACTTCATACTTGTACATAAGCGTAAATTCTGATTGCCTCTATCTAAAAAACTATCACTTTCATCTTTCCTCAAATTACATGAATGATCAGTTTTACATGTTAAGACATCTATAAAAACATTCCACGACGAACCTTTGTATGAACAGCCAGGCTGCTGACAGCTAATATTGGAGATCCATCAGCAACACATGCAAAGTCAACCATCGAACCTGATGGATAACCCTCATACTTCTGCAGAGTAAAAGACTTACAATGAGCTGTGCAAAAAGTGATCTTAATACTTCATAGTGGACTACTTCCTCATTTCAATGTTCAGCCAGCATAGCCAAAGAAAGCACCAAATATGATATGTCTATTTCCATTATTTTTCTCTTTAAGTAACTAGTTCAAACTCTCCAAAGAATCAACAAAATATAAAGCAGAAACCTGAGAAAAAGTGGAAAGCATGCCGCGCACATTGCAATCAAGTACAGTTCGAATTTCCTCAACTGGAGGAAGCCGAATTGCAGTTTCCTGTAATGACAACCCCACGTCAATCAGATGGATCCCATTTACAACATATGGAAGAATTTATATCTTAGCCTTTAATCATAGGAAGAACAACATTATAACCCCAACCTTTTTAGTCATTGAAGTAGTTAATGATATAATCTAACACTAATTGGCAATTGCAGTCATTTACTAACTGTATCCATATCGAAGTATACCAAGTAAACATACACCCAAAAAAAACTAATAAAAATCAAATTTATAACATTACCTGGTGAGTTTGAATCAATTGGAAGACACTGGCATCACTAGTTACACCCCCAGTTGACACAGCCTGATCAAAACAAACAATCAAATAACCTCAAAACCAATACTTAATCAAAATCAAAACTTTTCATTTGCAACCTTCTTTCATCATCAACCAACATCATCCCCTTAACCAAAAAGGAAAAATACAAAATTTCAAATAAAACAACATAACAGAAAAAACCTCAGATGAATAAATGAAAAACTGAGCATTTCCTATGTGGGTTTTCTTGGGAAAACAACGAGAGGTTGAGTTTAGAGAGTTTGAGTTTGACCAACCTGAGGTGAAAACCGAGAAGCGGAGGCCATAAAAAGAGGACGAGAGCGAGAAGAGAAGGAAGAAAGTGTTCTAGAAATGGAGAAGCGTAACATTGAAGAAGAGTAAGAGGTTTTATTAATGGTATATATGCTTGAAAATAACGAAGAGGTCCATGGAACTTCCATAGTCATCATCTTCTTTACACGTTACCTCTCTACGCTCTACTCTCACCAAACTCTTTTATTATTCTTTTTTTTTATTTTTTATATATATTTATTTTCTCTGTTTTATTTATATGTTTCTGAGTTGAGAAATTGTAGATGATGGGGTGATTTGTGGCTTGATTGGGGACCACAATTTTTGTTTCTTCCTTTTTCTAATAATTTCGAAATTTTAATTTTGTTTTAAATTTAGTTACTTTGTTTCTAGGGATGTCAAAATGACCGTTCATTTTCTATTTAACTATTTATAGATGATCGAGTAGTTCGATAGAGATCATGAGTTCGAGTATCTCTATGATTACTAATAGTCTAATAGAGGTAGTTCTACTAAAGCTCTTATGATAGTTCTAAGGTTCTGAATGATTAATTGAGGTGTACATAAACTGACCCAAACACCCCTTAATCATCAAATTAAAAAATAAAAAAACCACGAAAGACTTACCCTAATGGGTTGGATTTGGATAGTCAAAATTTTGGGGTGGGTTAGACTTGGATTTGAATATCTTGATCCAAATTATTTTTTCTGCTCCATTTGTCACAAAAATATGTAACTATGAATAAATAATTATATTCAATATTTAACATTAAAATTATAGTATTATTTAAATTAAGTTATATTATTCACTTTTTTTTTTTTTTTTTAANATGTCAAAATGACCGTTGATTTTTTTTGTGATCTGTGGCTTGATTGGGGACCACAATTTTTTTTCTTCCTTTTTCTAATAATTTCGAAATTTTAATATTTTTTGTTTGTTTTTAATTTTAAATTTAATTTCTTTGTTATTAGGGATGTCAAAATGACCGTTGATTTTTTCTTTAACTATCTATGGGCCTAGTTAGTAAATACGAATAAAAATTCGGCCATAAAATTCGGATACAGAAAAAATACGATACGGATATATACGGGTTTAATACGACACATTGTCAATAACACGTTTTGAAAAATATAGCAATATCAATCTTAGTTTTACCACTTTTCATAAGCCACTTGGTAAAATTTATATAACATTTCAAATATACGGGTATGACAAAAAAATAGTACGGGTATAATACGAAAAATGGTAAAAAATACGTTTATAAAAATTCTGCAAAAATTCGGATATGGGAATAATTCGCGAATAATATGGTTGAGACATATAATTCGCGAATGATACGGCTGGACTTATAAAATACAGCTGTTCGCGAATAATACGTGAATTATACGGGTGGGCATATAATTCGCGAATTTACTAATTAGGTCAATGGGTGGTCAAGTAGTTCGATAGAGGTCTTGAGTTCGAGTCTTTCGACAGTTACTAATATGGATAGCTTCACTAAAGCTCTTATCCAATAGATAATTCTAAAGTCTCGAAGGATTAGTTGAGGTATATATAAACTGACCCGAATACCCTTAATCATCAAATTTAAAAAAAAAAAAAAAAAATGACCATGAAGACTTACCCTAATGGGTTGGATTTGGATAGTCAAAATTTTGGGGTGGGTTAGACTTGGATTTGAATATCTTGATCCAAATTATTTTGGGACGGTTTTAGAAATGCTAACTTTAACTCTAACCCGCTCCATTTCGTCACAAAAATATATAACTATGAATAAATAATTATATTCAATATTTAACATTAAAATTATAGTATTATTTAAATTAAGTTATATTATTCACTTTTTTTTTTTTTTTTTTAAAAAACCTTACTATCGCAACCTTATTCCTTTACTTAATTACTTCAAATTGATTTCTTATCATCTTTTAAACTTGTGAATCTGAAAATAAAGTATGTAATTAAATTGTTTAATCTTAATTGCTAACATCATATATTTTATTTAACTTTATAATTGCATAAACATTAATTTTATATTGAATTTTTTCTTTTTTATTGTCAAAATAAGTAATTCAAGTTATAAATTATTTTATGAATTATGATTTTACGTTATTCAGAATTGGAATTATTATAAAAGTATAATTAAATTTAATATTATTTTTTTCATTTATGATTTGTTTCGATATTTTTTGTGGTAAAATTATTAAAATTTGAATTAAAAAAATTATATGTATTAAGTAGTTAAAAATTATTATTGATCATTTTAATTAATTTATTCTAAGAAATAATTTCTTTATATATAAAAAATGGATCAAATGGGGCAATCCAAGGTTTTCCTAAAAAGAAAAATACCCAAACTCGTTAATGGGGCGGGTTCGGATTTCTTAGTATCCAACCCGACCCGCCCCATAGTCATCCCTATTTTGTTATGTTATTTTTAGTTCACACCAATTTATTATCTATGAGAAATAATTTATGTAATTTAATTAATTTATAAGTGAAATTATTAATTTGCGTTGTGTTTAGAGTGGATGGTGAGAGTTTAACCTTGTAAAAAATACTTTTGTGAAATTTATATAGTTTATTATTACTTTTTTTATAAATAAAAATAAAATCGATATATTGTCATATCAGCTAAAATTAGTCAACTAATAAACGAATAATAATAATTTAATTTAATTGAAATTAATGTAGTTTAAACCAGGAGTAACATTTTAAAGTTTTCTTAGTGTTTTAAAACTCGGGGTGACACCCAACAAAGTGGCTCGATCTCGATTTAATCGATTTAACTGGTGGGTCAAACCAGTGTCAAAAGATTTAAAATCTAACAAAAATACCTTTAAAAATTTTGTAAGTTCCTATAGGTTTGAAATATTGTAAAAATACTCCAAACACCACCATCAGCATCGACAAATAGAACATGTTTCTGGTGACGACAACACTCTCCATCACCACAAAAATACTCCCTTCAGCCTCCTGACCAAAACCCATCTCACCCCTTTCTCGTTCGCCTCCCTAATTGCCAACGACATAATTTTGTAATTTCCAATTGATTCACTTATCGGAAATCACTGTTATCATCATCATTGCACTCAACGACTATTCCTCTTCAAAAGCCCTAACATTTGAGCCTTCAATTGTTCACAGATTGATGTCCTAATTTTTAAGGTTTTCAATGAATATAAAATTTGTAAGCTGATCTAGTGAAAGCTCCGAGTCCCGGTTGAACCAATTGAACCGGCCGAGTCGGGCCAGGTTTTAAAACACTTGTTTTCTTACCAAAATTAGAACCCTCATTTTTTATTTTATTTTATTTTTTTTTCCCAGGTGAAAAACACTTCCACGATTTTACAGAATTGGAAGCAGAAACACAAAGAACAAGAAAACAAAAACATAAACAGAGAAGAACACAAACACAAACAAACCCAAATCCCAATCAGACAAAAAAAAAATTTGAACCTAAAAAGCAAGTAAAACAAGTTACCATTCAAAACAAAACAAAACCCATTTCTTCAATTGCTATTTCATTATCAATTACATATTCATACAAAACAACAACAACAACAACTGGGCATTGCCCGGCCCCCAAACGACATAAAGAACTCAATCGGAGTGAGAATCGTCGCCGTCGGAATCTTGATCGGACGACGACCAGTAGGAATTATCGGGGGAGAAGCACAGATAAGTCCAGAAAGAAAGCGCTAAACGGCGGAATTGTTGGAATGGAACGCAGCAGAGAAGGTGGAGAACTTGATCGGTGGGCAATCTTTGTGGGTTACAAGCTACGAATTGGCACACGTTTGCTGATACATTGGCGACTCTCACCACCATAGAGCTGTTCAAAACCATAGCTTTGTGTTTTGTTTTTGTTTTCTTTGCTTTGTGTTTAAGAAAAAAGAAGAAAAAGGAAAGAATGAGAATATATATATATATATATGTTATGTTGGTTATGTGTCTGTTGTTTTGGTGTAACAAAGTTCAAGAACAGAAATTTTCTAACTTTATTTTTAAATTTTTAAATTAATATTTTATTTTATAATAATTTTGATTAAGTTCATCAGTGAATCAAATTAGATGGATGATATGTTTTTTTTTTTTTTTCAAAATGATGGGTGTGTTCATCTCAACTGATCTTTGAAACCCTTGAACGATGGTATGGTTGGAATTCCCACCATGGGAACACACTTCAGAATGAGTCAAATGTATTCAATCCCACCATTTTAAGACATTTAATGAGTTGGTTGTTCTAATTTTTGTCTTGATAGAGAATATATAGGTGCATACATATATGTTAGAGGGGTTTTGATAAATGTTACACAATTTTAGGAGAAATATAAAAGGATTTATATAATTTCAGGGAGATTTCTAAACAATTTTAAAACCATTTTTTTTTTTTTTTTCTGGTGATTAGGGGTATTTGAACCAGTTTATGCGTACCTCGACCAATCTCTTAGGACCTTGAAGTTCAGATACGAGAATAATTCGTGAATAATACGGCTGAGGTATATAATTTGCGAATAATATAGTTGGACTGATAAAATACGACAGTTCGCGAATAATATGTGAATTATACGATTGGACGTATAATTCACGAATAATATGCGAATTTACTATCTGGGGTTAAAACCAATTATATATGTGTTTAGCAAAACATCTACCTGTTATGTTTGTTTGGAAGAATGGAAGATGGGATTTGTTTGGTTTTGAGTATGAAAATTAAAAAAAAAAAAAAAAGGACTAGTTTCTTTTCTCTTTTTTTTTCCTCTTTCTCTATTTTCTTTGTTCTTTTTGATTTTATTTTAATTTTAGAGGAAAAAACAAAAAGAAGGAAAAAAATATTAATTTGTAAATTATTATCCCACTAAAAGACTAGGCTATATGACAGATTGATTTTCACATGCTTGAGCATTTGGGACATGTTTGAAAGCACTTTTGAGCTAAAAACACAAAATGTACTTCCAAGTAAAAACACTAGAAAGCACTTCCTGGAAATTATTTATCGTTTTCCTCGGTGCTAAAAAATGGTTTTCTCTATTAACAATTAAACAATACCAATATATATAACAAAAGGTACTATTGGTTCTCTAAAAGCATGTTTGATGGTATCAAATTCAAAAAGCACTTCCAAATACATGCAGAGCCACAAAAGCTTGCCCAAATCAATTAGATTTAGGATCAGCTCTCTAATTAGGCAAGATGAGGGCATTCCAACTTC